CACCAAGATGCTGATATCAGGCCGCCAAAACTGAAACTAGTTTCTTCAATATATGCATCCTAAAACTTATGACGATCATTCTTCATTGGCCACTGAGACATAGCCGGAGTCAAGATGTACTTCTTGCATCCTCATCAGATACCACCAAAAGGTCACTGGCATCGCTGGTATTTGACCCATAGAGTATCGTTTAGGGTTGCAGCTTAGAAACTGGATATGGTCATTTTAGATAGCTCTGTATATGAAATAAATAACCGAGGCATCTATTATGCTGTAAATCAGTCACTAAAAACAGGCAGCATTCAAGAGCTGTAATTTTTCCAGTGGGAAAAAAAGCACTGGAGCCACAAAACTGCAATAATGATAATTTAAGATCAGTAGAGCATCCATTTAGTAAAATTTCCAAATGTTTTTTATAGTAGAACAGTAAGTATTTACTCTATTCCTCTAATCCCTAGTTTTATGCAGTATAAATGAAGTGGTGCAACAATGACAGCACAGAACTGTTATCGGAGGTACACTTTCCCAACTTCTGTTCATTTAATTTTTGGGGTTTTTTTTACTGCTTGTGAAATGTTCTGGATGAAAATAGCATTCTTTTTAAAGCCTGTATGGACTGTGCATATCTACTTTTTCTTTTGGCTTAATCAATAGCTATATTTTCACAGGTTAAATTTTGAGTACACAGGACTTTAGATTTGATGTAATATCCCACCCTCAACTTTTTGAATAAATAATTAATAATAATTATTTTCTTGAAAACGTATATGAACTATGCTGTAATCATCATAAGCCAGAATATTAATGGTAACTTTGCAAGAAATGTCCAGCAGATGTTGCAGAAATTATTATTTAGCATTTCTATAGTTTTTACAATGAGCAACACATTTGACATACATTGTTTCAGTAATTCTAACAATAACCATATAAGGTAGGTCATGGTTATCTCACATTGCAGGCTGTGACAGCAACTTCCCTAAAGTCACTGTCAGGCTCATAGCTGAAGTGAGAAGCCACAAGAAAAATAACATCCAAAATTTAGCAAGGGTCTTTTCCATGTCCAACAGATGGAAGGTACATTTCAGCCTCTTCCAACCACCCGGGGGTCTAAGCCAAGTGCATCAGGTTGGGAAAGGCTGGTGTTTTTGACAGATACAATGGTGTTGCAGATTCCTAGAGTATGTGAAATAACCTTAGGATATTTATCCCGTTCTTTCTACCTTAGCTGAAGGAAAAGCACGATAATGCAAACAAACACAGAAGATAAAATTAAGAACAAAACTAAGTTCTTAATTAATTTCTTTTTTTTAAAGAAAAGAATAACCAAACATCAGTAGTCAGAGCTGCTGCTGACATACAAGGTGCTCTTATGCAGAATTCCACTTAGCGCCCCTCCAAAACAATGTTTAAATATTCAAAGTATATTAAATATAGTTACGTAACAAAATTATTCACAAAGTTTCAAAAATAATAAAATAACAAAAATGAAACATAATCTAGATTCAAATCACATTTATGTAAGTTTTTGTTTCTAACCTATTTTGACTTTCTTGGCTTTTAAGTTTGAACATTTCTTTGTTAATTGTAGCAATAGGTCTGTCACTGGCCTCTGTGGCTGACTGTACATGCACGAAGTTTGTGAGCCTAGGTTGTTGATACTGAATCTCCTTCTCTTTCTCAGATGGTCTCATTCTATGTAACTATGCCACGTGGCTTTTGAAACAAAGCAGATGAGGCCAGACACTGATCAGATGGGATGTGCAGCCTTCTCGGCGCAGAGCACATTGTTTTCTATTCAGCTGCATGTTTGGCCTGAATAATGACTTTTTTTCTAACTTGCAACTGGTGCCTGCCCCTCATGCAACGTGTTAGTGTGGCACACAATTTGCACACCAGTTTGTGGCACCCTGTCAGTAGTCAAAATCTCAAATAGATAGCAGTAAATACTGGCAATGTACCAGCCTAAAGTACTGAAAAGTTTGTTAAAATAGTCAGACTCTATATTCCATTACTTGAAATATGTTTGTGGAGACGTCCATGGGGACTAATTTCAACACTTTTAGCAATTCTGCGAGTTCTTCTTGTTCTATTACAAATCTTATTTCAGCTGTTGACAATTTTATTAGAAAAGACGACCCCATGTTCACTCTCTCCCTGCAAACCACTTTATGTCTCTACTGCCATGGTCCATTGATACAGTCCAACTGGCAAGGATTGCCTATGTAAGCAATCAAGAATGGAGGAAACATAGTGAGAAGAAAAAATGCCACTGTTACAGGCAACCGCAGAATATTTTCCTGAAATATTTCCCCTTTTTAAAAAGTACTGATTTATACCTAACATCAACATGAGAAAATATTAGGCATAGGCTTAAATTTAAATAAATGTTAATGTTATCTATTTCATGGTGCAATGTTATTTATGCTTATTTGAGGAGAATAATGGCAAACGTAACTAAATTAACAATTGTTCATTGAAAAGCAAACTGTCTGAACAGCTTGTCAAATTTCCGTGCTGTGAATGTGATCATAAAAGCGAGCAACTTCTAGTTATTTGAAGATCTCCAATCTTCTGCTTTGCAGGTCTTGTGACTGTTGCTTATCCACGGAAGCCTCAAGTTGCAGAACGGCACATCCTTCCTGTTCTCTGGTATTTCCTAAATAACATGATTGGTAATGGGGTATTACCTGGGAAGAGTGGAAATGTGAGAACTGTGGTCTCTAAACTGGCTAAAAGCTTGCACAAACAAATGGGGCTGAAACTTGAGGAATATGCTTCCAACCAACCACAACATGTGATCAAACTCTTTCAAGATCTTCTAGATATGGATCTCCAGTGAAGAAAGCCTGTTACCGTCTCTGGGACAACTGTAGCGTGACATTTCAAGGGAGAGCAGCAATGAAGTGATGGATAATGATACAGAACTTGCCATTACTTAACCTTTTTATTTTTTAAGTGTAAGAATCTCCTGTTGAACGCTTATAGTAATAATCTACAATGGAAAATGTATATAATATATTTTGCTGTAGAATTAAATCACCTATTTTTTTAAGATTTAAGCTGCTCAACTTTTGACCTATAGAGATTTTATTAGTGACAATAATACATTAATGACACAGCTGTAGCTTTTATATGTATAAAAAAGAGAATTTTATTTATGTAATACATATTTGTCAAAATTATGTGATAAAGTGATAGAGGTAAACCATAATACTGCCTCTACCACTATGGATTGCCAGTTAGGGAGATGGATTACATGACCACAGAAAGATGTCAGCCTGAGCTTCTTCTGCTTGAGCAAATACCAGTTAGCAGTGGCTTCCAAACTGTCATGTAGACTGCCTAGTGAAGTTATTCCTTAGATAGCTACTGGAAATGTTTGTGAAGGGAGGAAGAGGAAATCTGAAATATAAACATTGGGCTCAAAATGCATAAGACCACTTCCAAACAATATTTCCCCCCCATTCAGCTGACCTGTCACAGAGGAGATGGTGCAGTTTTTCCAGACATCATCCACTTAACTCTGGTGTAGTATATTCTCATTTCTTCATTGTCTTTCCTCCTTAGCATAATAAAAGCTATCAAGGAGAAAAAAATGGAACAGTCATACAGTGCCTTTTGTCAGGTATGTCTGGTTGCTGTCTGGAAGTACCAAGAAAATCTCATTTATCTGATATTATGTTAGGAAACAGAAATGATATAACTTGTTACTATTTTCCATTTATTGTTTTTGAATCTGCCTCTCCTCACTTAATTAGCAAAGTATCTATACAGTAATACAGTAGAGGGGTTTGGAACATCAGGAATTGTCTGGGTATACTCCAGAAGCACCAGCCTTCGGCAGTGATTTCCAGTTCATGCTGAAACACTGGAAGTCAAATTAATCCCTGCAGAATTTCTATATGGAGAGCTGTCACTTGCTGAGATTGTGTAAATGTCCATCATCATTAGATCAATATCTTTAAAAAAGTAAAATGTTTTAATTATTAAAAATATGTTTTAGCCTCCTTTTATTTGCATTTCCATTTTTGATTCTCCGGGTTCAAAAGGCATTAAGTGTCAGCCCTGTAGGGTAGATCAGACTGAGAAATCAATGCCATATTGGTCAAAAACTACTTTTATTAGAACAGCTACAGTAACAGAATTGTGCAAGTCTGAATGTGCTTCCCCCTCCCTCACTTTACCTCCATGTGAATTAGGAAGGGGCCTGTATGAGGCATTTTCTCAAATTAGTTTCTTGGAATGGTCTTAAGCCTCACTTGTCTGATCATTGCCTTGGCAATGGATCTCTCCACTGTCCTTCAAGCCATTCCCTGTTGTCTCTACATTGAGCTGGGAGTGAGGTGGGAGGATTATCTCAAGGAACAGATGCAAGTAGCCTGGGTATTTTGTCTAAACTAGCAGTAATCAGCACCAGGAGTTTGCAAGTGCCCTTAGAATGCTAGAGGTTGCTTCTCATGAACGTCTGAAACATAAAAGGCTTCCTTTCTTAGCCTAAATGTAAGACCAGATAAAGTGCTCTCCCAAATCAGACCAAAAGCCTATATATTCCAGAACCGTTTCAAGTTTTGAGAATGGCCAGCTTGATACCTCGGGTGGGGTGGGG